GGACACAGGATATAGGTCCTCAGCAGGCGCCAGGGGGCGTTTCCGCTAACCTGGTAAAGTTCTACATCTTTGTGGGTTCTTCAAGCCAGAAATTACAGTATATCGTGAACTGGAAACAGGTTCTTTACTGTGATATTTTGGAGGCGTGATATCTTAGTGTCTTTTCTTTTACTATATCTTTTTATATACTCGTTAATGTGGCAGGAAATAGTTAAATGACAAAAGTAATTTATTATGAATGTAAAATTTATCACAAAAATAATTGTTCGATATCTCATTTTGCTGTGGATTATTGCAGAAAAGTACGAATTTTTCGCGACTTAATTATTTCAGGTGAATAATATACGTATGGTTGAGTATGTAGTCCATGTACATCCGCAAAGGCAGTATGATGTACATCAGAACCTATAAAAATTGTCATCAGGTAGCTCTGTCAGGCAAGCAATGAAGTGGAACGTCGCGCCCGCGTGTAGCAGTTCTCTTGAATCTGACGTCTTCCGGCGGAAAACGAGATACCGGTGTAAAAATCACAGGAACTTCACTCTTTAAATAAAGCTATTACAAGCCTTCTTCTTTGAAGCTGTAGAAGAGAAAAGTAAAAATTCCCTTGAAGCTAGAGAGAGAGAGAGAGAAGGAAAAAAAGTGTCATTTGATGGAACGAAAATATTCTAATCCTACATTAAGTAATAGGCATGTTATTGCTTCAAAAAACTTGGGAAGACTAAAATAAAATTTATATGTTTAATATTTTTTACTTCAAAATATTCAGTGTTACATGCGTCTTTTTTTAACTTCTTCTTCTGACGCTTTATTTTATTAGATACACGAGCCTGTCTGTTACCAGCAATATTCAAAAGCTAAACATCTAAAGTATATTTCGTTATTTTAAGCTTCTGTTACCACGTTTACCCATTGATGTTCCTTATATTAAATGACAAGTAGAAGGACAGTTAATAATAATAAGTAAATAAAGATATATATATATATATACCTAACAATTCGAATGAAACAAAATATGCTGTTAACTTTTGGTGAAAATACGTTAACTAGAAGTGAAGGAGAAAAAAATGACCATTTAAACTTAAGGAACTTTTAGTGAAATGACATTTGTTTCTCTACACTTCTGTATCACAATTTATAATTTTGAGAATGCATTAATCAGAAACATAGCCAGTATTACTTATACAAGAAAAACCAAAGTTTTAAAAAAAAATGATACTTACTGGTTAAGAGAACCAACTGGCGAAATCTAGAAGTTCTTCTTCTTCAGGGCTGAGACAAGTAGATGGAGAACCCAAACTCTGGTGATTCTGAGAAGACTCAGATCCAGAGCTAGGACTTGGAGAGTTGGCTGCTGAGCAAGCCGGAGACAGACTCTGTTGTGGCACCGCGGAGTCTCTATTCATTATTGCCGTTACATACTGGTTCTCCTCCGAATGGTCAAGAACGGTAGGTTGACTAGCACTTGGTGTCATGTTGCCGTCCTGGTCATTTAAAAGCGCTTGAAGACGCTTAATATACTCCACCGCTGACCGTAGTGTCTCCACTTTACTCATCTTCTTGTTCTTTGCTCCATTGGGAACGTGTTGACGTAATGTTGCAAACCCCATGTTGACCATTCTGACCCTATTGCGTTCTCTTTCGTTCCTTCGTGCCACAGCGGCAGGCTGGGGTGACGGCAGCGTGTAGCCGAGCTGAGCAAAACTGATCCTGCGCTTACACCGTAGAAGTTCGCCAGTTGCTGGCTCAGACTTGGCTCGTTTGATCTGGGCCGCGCAAGTGGTCCCTGTAGGCTGAAAACTATCGTTATGGACCGAAGTGTTAGAAACAAGAAAACACGTGGTAGTTTCCAGCTTCTGGGGGCTACCAGTTACCACTGTCAAATATGCCATGGCACTCTTGCTCAGGAAACTTGTACGAGATATGCGCGTATATGTAGTCCTATTGAAGGATCGATGAACGTTGCCACGCACAGAGAAAGTGAGGTAAAATGCGACGCCAGTTCAGCTGCAGACGTTAAAAAGGTTACCGTCATGAATAGCAAGCCCCTCCTCCAAGAGTAGACATTGTGATCCTGTCAAGCTGTGTTTCTCGTCGCACGCAAGACGCGTGTCCATTAAAGATGTCGAATCAACATCGCTCCAGGGATGCCTCCTCCTTTGCTTGTCTCTCGCGAGAAACACGTGCTCTTGAGATTCAAACATTATCTTCTAATTTTCCCATGCATCTTGATAATAAACACAGGGGCACTATTATGTTGGATTCGTTGCCCAATAAAAGATTCGAATTTTGGCTCAGTCGGACTTCAGCAACGAACACCAAATATGCCATTTCAGTACTTCTCTGTTATATTATATTAATATCCCTAAGTTTACCAGTTTTTAAGAATATGAAAAATAAAGGAATATATATCTAACTGTCACTATAGTTGCTCAGATGGAGTTACAGGCATAAAGTAAGTGAACGGTTCACAGATGTTTAGTGAAATATATTAATAGTATATTGAGCTCCAATCATGATAAGAAAGAGAAACTCTCCAAGAAACTTGTGAAGTCAGAGGATTTAGTCCTCCAATGGCTCAGCGTTAAGTCTGAAGCCTTATAACGCTAAAAACCGAGTTTCGATACCACTGGTGGGCACAACATAGATAGTCCATTATGCTTAACAACAAGCAAACAAAAAGTTATGAGGGGATAATGTTGACTAAGGGGATGATGTTGACTATTAAATCCATTCTCTTAATGTCGCTTTAAATAACTGCCAGAAATATTTGATTATTTGGAATAAAATGTTGTCGGTTCACATTTCTAACACTTAAAATGATTTTGTAATTTACTTTACGTTTGATATTTTTCACGGAAACATATATATGATCGGTAGCTAAACCTAAAACTCTTTGATATCAATATGTATATATATATATATATATATTTACTGATTTCACGGTAGAGCACAAGTATAATAAATATATTTACAATAGAAAAAAAATATTTTTTTTATACAACAAACAACTATGTTTCAATCTGTGGTAGTGGGTGATCGTCACGTTACAATTGTGCTGTTCAGTAAACCCTTTTTCTATTGTAAAGCTGTTTTTTAACCTTCATTGATTGACTCAGTTAGATCCTCGTTTAAGAATTAACTGTTCTATTTGCTTAGAAATACAACTAGAGATTTATAGAATCTTAACTCGGGAAGTATACCAAAATACGATAGTAGTTACGAACATCTAGAAAGCAAACCGAGAAATAAAATAAAAAAGTCGTATGTTTTAAAAATACGAGCAAATAGAAAAATAAGATCAAACATTGTTTTTTAGGCATGAGTGTTGATTAAATCACAATAAATTAACCAAAACCAAAACAATAACCTAAGTTTCGTAAATTATCATTGCTTAAAAGGTAAAGTTGTGCAATTTTTACTCTTAAATATTGTCTTGTATATTATTGTAAATCTTATTCCATTTCATTGTATATATGATTCTTTAACATTCCTCCCAGTGGCTCAGCCGTAAGTCTGAAGGTTTATAACGATACAAACCTGGTTTCGATGTATCTGGTGGGCACAGCACAGACAGCTCTATTTGTAGCTTTATGTTTGACCATAAACGAGCAAACTCTTTTCTGCCCCCCCCCCCAGTTGCACAGCGGTATGTTTGCGGACTTACAACGCTAGAAACCGGGTTTCGATACCCGTGGTGGGCAGAGCACAGATAGCCCTTTATGTAGCTTTGTGCTTAACTACAAACAATAACAACAACAAACTCTTTGGTATATTGTATTAGTTTCATTTATAATGAGGTCGTGCTTAATATGTGGTTAGCTTGCCCATACCATGAACCCGAGGAGTCAGGGCTTACGACTCGTTGCCACAAAAGCTGTTTCTTTGATTTGAATTTCGCGAAAAAGTTACACGAGGGCTATCTGCGCCAGCCGTCCCTAATTTAGCAGTGTAAGAATAGAGGGAAGGCAGCTAGTTATCACTACCTACCGCCAACTCTTGGGCTACTCTTTTATCAACGAACAGTGGGATTGACCGTCACATTATAACACCCCCACGGCTGAAAGGGCGAGCATGTTTG